CTCACCTTGATTCCTCTGCCAAGCACTAGGAGGAACTGAAAATCGAAGATCCACAGCCGGGTTATAGGCATACGAGTAAAGAACCACCACTTAATCATTTGAAAGGAAAGCCGCAAGCGACCCAGAGCCGGAAAAAGGCAATCCAGTTTCACTCACCGTCATCGCTCGTCATGTCTTGCAGCATCCGGAAAGCCCGAGACGGGATGTACGCGCCGCGGTACCGCGGATCCGTTTCATCGTGTAAGTAGTTCTCGTCATTCACTGTAAAAATGTATAGAATGCGTCAACAGAACTGGCAAAAATGAGGGCTTTTCCAAAGTATCAGGCAACTTGGTAGGCAAGGATAGTACAGGTGAACCTCAATATGTGAAACATCCCCTAGTTGAATTCCTCCCTAATTCAATGTTTTTCATGTCCCTGCCTGAACACCCTTAGAATCAATACATTAACCCTTGCATGGCAAAGGGTTCGTTTCCATTGCGCAGCAAAGTTGGGATTTTCTTGGGTGGTTGTGGGTTTCATTTTTCTTGAAGGCCACAAAAGCCAAGGGCAAAGTCGGACTTTTTCCAACAAAAAGGTGCTGCTAATATTTCCCAAGTCGGACTTTTTCTGCTAATCTTTTTCTGCCTCTATATAAGAATCCTCCATCTGGCACCCAAAATGAAAGCGTTACAAATCTGAGAAGAATGCAACTAATCCAGAGAGAGGTTAAAAAAAGGCTCAGCTTCGGTGATACATTTTTTTATTTTTGGGCAACATTTTTCTGTGGATTAAAAAAAAACATTTAGATTTTACTGGACTTTACCCTGGGTGAATTCTCACTCTTTTTTAAAAACTCTGTATACTTACAAACACAAAATTTTGCAGAAAAAGTCCAACTTTGTTGTCCAAGGGTTAAAAACCTCTCTAAGTCTAAGTATTTTTCTCTGAAACCTCTGTAAGTCAAATTTTCTGAGGCCTTCTGGTAATTATTTTCTTAAAATATGGAAGAGAAAATGATTAAAATAAATAATCTGATGCATCTTGACGGGAAGTGAAAGACAAATATAGCAAATGAACCCCTGCCTCCAAGTTCAGCAAGGTGTAAACTCATTCAGGAGCAAGTTTAGGCCCAGAATATCCTTATTTATGATTTCCCACACTTTTTTCACATCTCCTCACAGCAAAAGGATTTGCTTCATCAACTGGAAACCTCCAAAAATCAAAACCTACACAAGTCTAAACCTCCCTAAGTCAGTTTTTTTTCCTGGTCCCCAGAAATTCGACTTCAACAACAGAGGTTCAACTGTATCAAAAGTTTTTGGCCTGATGGAAAAGCCCGAATACTGCAATGTACCATGAACATCAAAATTACTTCACAAGCAAACCTCTCTTAAGTTGATGTTCAAGGGACCAGCAGAAAAATTTGAGCTAGGGAGGTTTCAAGTTATGGAAACAAACATATTTTGAATGCGGGAAAGATGGAAGAATCGCAGGGAATTGTAAATGGTGATATTCCGGGCTTTGAATTGCTTCTTAAACGAGTTGACTGGCTGCTGAACTTGGACAGGAAAGTGTTTATTCGCCCAATTAGTATTTTGCTTACTTTCAAAACGCATCGTTACTTTTTAATATATTTTCTTTTTCCTGTGTCAAGAAAGTAATACCCCAAGTTGACTGGCTGCTGAACTTGGACAGGAAAGTGTTTATTCGCCCAATTAGTATTTTGCTTACTTTCAAAACGCATCGTTACTTTTTAATATATTTTCTTTTTCCTGTGTCAAGAAAGTAATACCCCAAAAGCCCAAAAAGCGTTGAATAATCTGAAATCATTCTCAACATTTTTTTGAAAAAAAAACCTTCTTTACGTAATTGCTCAAAAACCGGAAAAATATGAAGTAAATTTGCTGCTTTTCCAGTTTTAACGCTGGAATTTTCCATTTGCATCCACGTTGCCACTGCAAAACTCACTTTGGAACCTTTACATTGGCTTTGAAAATTAGATGCCGCATCAGATGCATTTAAAATCTGTCGAGAATGACGGGTTGGTATTTTTTATTTCAGATCCGTATAATTTTTTAGGTATCTTCACGGATACACAATTTTCAAAGAATAGGTAAATGAAAAAGTCAACCTTTTTCCCTGACGTGGTTCATCAAACGACGATCGTCTTCCGAAAGATCCATTTTCCGTTGCCCAGAAGGTGCCATCGTCATCCCATAAGCTCCACCTTCAATGAATGAATCGTTTTTTGCATTTAAACTTTCCTAGATTGTCGATGAATGCTTCAAACCGCGTATGCGCATACAGTGTTCCTTTCTTTCCAAATTTTTGGCTTAGATTTTACTTTATCAATTCCAGTAAATGAAGCAATGCTCGATACGCGGCAAAGCTGGAGGAACTTCAAGGAAAATATTCAAAATCTATTCGACAATTTAAAGAAGGAAGGAAACAATGGAGGAAGAAGTGCTCAAAAAACTCCTTTAACGGTTTCACCAGTGCACGGTATTTATTTTTCTGCTGAAAGGCACACAGAACACAGCTTACCATCCGGAGCTTCTTCAGAAGTGAGTTTTTGCAGCACTCGGAAGGACCTGGACTGTACTGGATCGCCCATCGTTTGTCCTCCACCGCTAACGGACATGCTGGAAAACAACGAAAATCAATGAATCTTTCACAATAATCAGCGCGGGGAAAATTACCCCGAAATTCAAAATTCGATAGATTTCATTTTATTCTACAGATATATCTCGTTTTCACTCACTGGTCGACTCCTTGGGCCAATTCGCGAGCCTGGCGGTGGTACTGTTCTGCAGCAGGGCACTCATTCCCTTCCACTTGTATAGGCACGATTCGTGTTGTCGACGACGACGGCGGCGGAGGCGGCGGTGGCGCCGATTGTGGAGAACGCACAGTTTGTTGCTGGCTCTGCCACGTTGGCTGCGCCTGTGCAGTTGTGTTCTGGCGCGCCTGCCATCATCACAAAATATTTAACGGGTTTCTTTCCAGCGTACAGTACTCGTATTTCATAAAATACACAAGAGATGGTTGAAGCATAAAGAACCCTCACTCTGCAAAATATTCCGCATTTTTCCAGTTTGCAATGCGAGGAAAAACTTGATTCATCGGCAAACAAATATTGCAATAGCTTGTATTGTGCGAAATGCAACTACTGTATATCCGAAATTACGGGTTTACTTTGCCGAATCTCGTGATTTGACGTTTCAAAAAAAGAAAACACCAGTTCACAGCTGGTAGAACAAGAAATGGCAAACAACATACAATAGAACGTATAAGCTTTTTGTGAGGTGGTTAACCATTGATTCTATACAGTTCTTCCTTCAAGAATACCCGAAATTTTGAGCTGAATGCGGTCAGCATGCATGTTTCGAATATCCTCGAGCCGCGGAACATTTGTCTGATAGTTTCTTGGCGTAGTATATAGCTCAAGAAATACCCCGAAGATGTTATGGTATAAAATTTCGGAAGCGTTCGATTACCATTGATTTTTTCATGAACCGGAAGAGATAATTATCTAGGATATAATAATCGAGGTTCCATTTTACAACCGAATAAACATAACTGGGTATACCATCCCTTCCAACACATTCAGCTGAGTAAAAAATAACGTTGAAACATTATTGGAAGAATAAAAGTGCACTGACTTTGTTGGAATTCATCCATGGCAGTGGTGCCGTCTTCAGTGACGCCTCTACTGGACTTTGCATCACCGGTGGAATATAAATTGAACCAACGCCCTCCGCCGACGTTTCCTGTGACACAGGTGTCGCCACTCGCGGTGACCCTGGCTGCACTCTGCTGCTAGCTGGCCTCAACTGCAGTAAAAGAGTAAAACGAAGTGGCGTCAATTCAAAGTTTTCAGTCAAAACAAAAATTATACCTGGATCTCTCAAAAATAAATACGTTTCTGGGTAATTCCCGCTAATCATGCTCAAAAAACTGCTCAGAGATATTACAGTAGAGGGTGACGTCGACATTTTTAGAAATATTGGAGAATCGGATGATCATCTTCAAGAGGCATAAAATACCATGGAGAACACTAAAGTTAGTCAAATACATGTTCTCTTCAATTTAATCAGTCCACTGCTGAAATAAAACGTCTAATTTCGTCCACAGAGCTGACCCAACTTAGATGAGCATTTTAAATTAGGAAAATACGTCAATTCCGTTCACACAGGTCACGGAAAAAGAAGCAACATCAGAAATCTTTCAATTTGGCAGCAGGAAGTTAGAAGAACTTGTAAGAAGTAAAAATAAGGAAAAGTGAAAGATTAAAGTAAGGCGGAAGAAAATAAAATTCTGTACAGAGAAATTCACATTTAAAAAGTTGAAAAAATATTTTACTGTAGCATTTGACGAACAAAGGTATTCCAAAAAAGTGTATATATTAATGTTTAGCCTTTCAGCAATCCTTCCCCAACATGGATTGGAATTACGTACCTGAGGGAAATCGCCAGGTTTCGGCGGCGCGAAAGCCGGTAGTTTCACCATCGGTGGTGGCGGCATATAATCAGCAACTCCAGGCGACGAAACTGCTTGCTGCGGAGGTCCTGCTGATGGCGGTGGAGGAGGTGGTGGCGGTGGCGGAGGCGCCGTGCCTTCCGCCATCGCGTTCTTCTGGATCCGTTTCGCCATCCGTGGAGACCTAATCTCCGATAAGTCGATCCCGGCTGGCGTGTAAGTGAATGGCTTCTTATCCTTGGCCATGGCGCTCTGAATCGCCGGTGGCGGCATGCCGCTTCCTCGTTCGTGATCCCCGCGAAGTCCATTCATCTTTTTTAAACATAAAAAAGTGAGAGGGCAGTATTTCCGTGGAATATTTTAATATTTTAAAACAGGTATTCCATGATGCAATTTCGGAGTGAGATGAATCAGATACTGTAGCTCACCTGCTGATTAGGTCTATTTCCCATCGAAAACCCGGTTGGAAGCGGGGGTGGCGGCGGTGGTGGTGGTGGAGGAGGCGGTGGCGTTGGAGGACCGCCTACGCTGTTCATTCCGATCATGATTTGACTATCCCCTATTTAATGCCAGGAATTCAGTCATTAAATGAGCCTTTTTCATTTTAAATTCATCATAACTCTAGTTAATGAAGAATTTACGAAACTTTTTACACACCTGTGATTGGGGGAGGCGGGGGAGGAAACCTCAAGCTTTGGAACCCAGGTTGAGGAGAAGCTGTTAATGGTGACGGCGACCCCATGGATGATTGCTGGCTGGTTTGCCGTCTGAAAATACATAAAATGTTAAAGTTAAAATATTTTGTTAACAAGCTTTCCGTAGTTCATCGACACTTCGCTGTCTACGGCTCGAACTTCAGCTAACGAGCAGCTAATATGCAGCTGTGTTTTGTTTTCATCTCACAAAGATGCAGCTTTTATTATGCATTTAAGCATGTCAGGACCTATTTCAAGACTTCAAATTAATTTCAACGATGCATCGTCCAAGGATGATGAAAATTGTTTCCGCCCCCTTCGACGTAAATTTTTTATTTATTCAATCAAGATTAATCCAGTTCTCACAGCGCGAGTAACAAAATTTTGTTATGCATCAACTGCGAGAAAATGATAATTAAAAAAATTATCAGGAAAAAATTACCAGCGAATCATTGATTTTTTACCCGCTTTTGAGAATCAAGTGTCGTTTCTCATTCGTATTCAATCAAATGACATATCTTCAAGTATGCAATGTATTAAAAAAACATACAAATAAACCTTTTCTTAATGCCTTCTCGCGACCGAGAGAAAAGTTTTAAAAATTGCATTGAAAATATTGGAATGCATCCCCACATTTGGCAGGCAAATCATGAGATACGTTCAGAATTTCCAGGTTTCCTTCCCAGAGGACAACAATAGCACGGTCGTCTCTGAAGCGGACACGTCTTCGAATTTTTGAAAGACAAAAAAAAGCTCAAATAAGAGTCGTTCCGACTCGATTTTTAGTTTCAACAGTGTGCTCAAGTGAATACTAATTGACGCTTAGATGGAGAAAATATATAAACATACGGAAATGGTACTATAATTTTACTCTACCCTTCTCTCTTCGCAGCAGCAGACAAACATAGCAAGACTTTCGTTCTACTTCTTTCAGGGTGATTATTAGTTCGAAAAATGTTATTGAGTGATTGAAAATTGACGCTTGGATGCAGAAAATATAGACACATCTAAATTTTTTATTATAATATCATCACCTACTTCCCTCTTTGCAAAAGCAGCCAGAAATAGCAAGATTTTCGTTCTACTGATCGTGAACTGATCAGTTCAAACGATGTATTTACATTTTTTTTACAAATTGACGCTGGGATGTAGAAAATACAGAAGAATTCTTCCTGATTTTCACCTCTACTTCCCAGTTAGGAATATTAAAACGTTCGTTCCACCCTCGTAAGTTGGATGACAGTTTATCAGTCGAGCCATTCAAGCCGCGCGAGTGAGGTCAAATAGAACCCGGTACCAGTGTGCCCCTGAAAAATTGCAACTCAACAGTGGGTGTCAGAGAAGAAGCCGCTTGGGAGACAGCTCGTTACCCGGCATCACGTAAGTGCGGCAAGTAACGCGTCAGCGTCGTCGCCAACCGCTAACAGAATTTCAAGCCAGAGATAATGGCGAACGGATATTGCGGGCTGGCGAGAACGATCATTCGACTCCGTCTTGGAGATCATACTTGACGTGGTGAGAAAAGTGACGAGTCATGAGGAACTGGTAAGCAGATTATTTTATTCTATTTTTTTTATGGCCCAGGAGACTCATGACTGTTGCAATATCATAACTGTCTCTTCATCAGATTCTGTTCATGCTTTCGCGCTAAAGACTTAGATCTTCAACACAATTTGCCGTACCACGACAAAAAATGGAAAAAAAACTATAATGCTGTGTGATTTTCACGAAGATTTTGCAATTTGATGCTGTGTTTTTCAGAAAATAGGCCTGATCACAATTTTCGAACACTGCAAGAAATATAAGCTCAAGACTTACGGAAAGAGCTCAATTTTTTTCGAACGATGGACCATGTTAGTCGTGATTTCAATTTGCGATCAGAAAATATTGGGTCACTGATTATCCAAGAATTAGAGGACGAAGAAGAAGCCGCTTGGGAGACAGCTCGTTACCCGGCATCACGTAAGTGCGGCAAGTAACGCGTCAGCGTCGTCGCCAACCGCTAACAGAATTTCAAGCCAGAGATAATGGCGAACGGATATTGCGGGGTGGCGAGAACGATCATTCGACTCCGTCTTGGAGATCATACTTGACGTGGTGAGAAAAGTGACGAGTCATGAGGAACTGGTAAGCAGATTATTTTATTATATTTTTTTATGGCCCAGGAGACTCATGACTGTTGCAATATCATAACTGTCTCTTCATCAGATTCTGTTCATGCTTTCGCGCTAAAGACTTAGATCTTCAACACAATTTGCCGTACCACGAAAAAAAATAGGAAAATAAACTGCAATACTGTTCGATTTGCACGAAGATTTTTTAATTTGATACTGTGTTTTTCAGAAAATAGGCCTGATAACAATTTTCGAACACTCGTTCTTTATATTCGAGTTCTGAATGCCTTTCTCGAGTTAAAAAAAGCTTGCTACCTGGTACAATCAGCACTAAAGTTAAACGCTAGTCTTTTATAACCCAGTGACTAATAGGTTCTTAGTCTCCTGCAAGAAAATCACGGCGTAATCCAAGTTTCCGCGTTCAATATCTCGTGAAATACAGATATAAGTTCACCCCGCAGAAAATTCAAGACAAACGAGCCCTGGGAAAGTTTCTGAGAACCTTTCATCGAAGACCTGTTTTCAAAAATCCCTATGGGCTATCCAAGCTCGCCGTAAAGGGGGCGTTAAAAGCCGCCTTTTCGTCGACGATTAAAAAAGTGCCCGCTCACTATCGAGCAAAACGTAACTTACGCGCATCTTTTGCTGTGCTAGACACCGAAGGAAAGATTTCGTTTGATTTTCCCAGAATTTATAGTAATTGATTACATTTCTAGTTATCGCGAGGGCAATATTCGCGAAAAGTAAGTAATATTGCACAAAAAATCAATCAAGACGGTGGGAAAACTTCCATGGCATCGCACGCCAACTCGATAAAGTTTTCCCGGACGAATTTTTCCGATTTCGTACTGAATCATAAGAATCAATGCATCCGCATATTCGGAGATTTTGAAGACGTTTTAGCTTTTAGACGAATTCATGATTACCACTTTCGTATAGTCCAGAAGGGGTTCAACAATGCGAAAAACCGACCAAAGATGACGGTATTTAACAACTACGTATATATTTTATAAAATTTGGAAGCTGCTCCCGAAGTAAAATTTTAAACTTACTTTATTTATAATATTAACTGACTTCTTACCTTGGTCGAGGGAACTCGTTATATTGTTACGTTTACTTATTCGTACTGTTTTCACGGAAATTGTTAGTATTCTTATAAAGCCTTGAATGATGTTATTCCAAAATCAAATCGGAAAGAAACTTGAGCATCACTAATTTTGTTTATTCCCATAAAAAGGATGTACTCATAGTCATAGACGTTGATTCAGGTTCTTTTTAATTACGAAGAGCCCGCTATTGTTCTCAGAACCAGGAAGCAATTTTTCAATTCCACGCCGATTTGGATGGTTTTGGAAAGCGAGCTTATTTCTTTTCACCAGAAGAACGTTTTCTCCAAGAAAGCTTTAGTTAGTTTAGAATATCAAACTTTTTTCAGTTGGCGGATTTCTCGGTTAAATCTCACGTGAGCACGAGAGATGACGGAGGCGTCCAGTGAGACGACACTAGCTGAGTTTCTAGTTTGGTCTGCAAATCCGCAAAGCGTTCCTTGAGAGACGGACGCACGAAACGGCGCAAAAGGCGTCCCGAGTCGAGAAAGGCGTCCGGACTGGCCGTCCCGCTACTCCGCCAGCCGTCTTTCGCGTCGGCCTGACCGGGCTTGGACGACGAGTCCACGTCACTCACGCCCGAGTCCGACCCGGGCGGCGACCGGAACTCCATGTCTTCTTCCGGGGGTTCCTTGGGTTCCGACAGTAAATCGTCCATGGATTTGTGCAGGGGTCGACGGGGGTCCGGGTTAACCTACGGGACGTCGGGTTAAGTTGGTCGCTCTTGCATATGCTCGTTTCTTCGGATATGGTGACATATTCTCGATAGACCAACTGAGCGCAGCTTAACGCGGTGCGAGGGACAACTGACAACTATCCACCTGAGCGTCTTTGCGGATATGGTGGAACGGTTTTCCTGTACATTTATGGGGTTTCGTAAAATTGCATCCTTTCAATCATTGAACTATCCGTCTTTTCCTGGTACAGTACTTTTATGTGGATGCAATACGAATCAATCGTCAAATGTAATCTTTTTTTTACCTATTCTGCTGTAATTCCGGCCGTTGTCTGGATTTCCAGACAATGTATAGGATAATTATTGTCGTCAGAAATGTATTACAAAATTTTAATATTGAGATTTTGTAATACCTTTCTGACAGCAATAATGATCCTATCCCAGGTGTTTGTCAATCGACTTCAACAGTCGAGTCAAATAGTTAACGCTCAGTTGGGTGGTGATCAGTTTTCCCTGGCGCTCATTTGGGCTGCGCAGTTGTCCCGAAGTTCGGTTGAATCGGGCGCTAACTTGTCTGCTCTGGCAAGATCTCATGAGTAATGATTTTACCCCATCTACGAGGAAAACTGAATTTTCTTTACTCAAGAGTAAAATAATTACTGTAGATGCTCTCATCGTTCGTTAAAGTTTGTCTGTTTTTGGCAACAATTTTCTCCGTACCTTCCTACAAAAGTTCGTTCAAGAAATCGAAAATTCAAAAATTCTTTTTGATAGAGTCAAAACGGATGGGCTTCTACAGAACAAAATTTTAACTCGAGCTGATTTGTCTAAATCCGACTATAAGGCATTATTCGAGATTTAAAAAAAAAACTTCGGAATTCGTAAGAAAATCGGGTCACCTTTGAACACATATTTTGAATTGCTTAATACATTTAAAATGCTGTACTCGATAGCGAATTTCTCGCAACTATCGACTGCATAAGACTGAATATGGCTAATTACACGAAGAAGAAAAAACATAGCGTTGGCCACAGAAGCGTAGAAATATCTCGGGGACCTGAGCCTTCATATTTGAAAAAAGAAAAAAATCTTGCCACTTATCCAGAAATATTTTGAACTGTGAGGGTTGAATTGTGCTATGGACTAAATCGAATGTCTGGAGTACAGTCGTGGGGGAGGTGAAAGAAAAAAAATAGGCCGAAATTTTCTAGCGAATTTATTCGACCAATGGCCAGGAAAATTCTGGTTACACAGGTAGACTCTCACTACAACGATTTTCTCTGTATAAAGCTATGTTTTGGCCCTTAGGGTTATCCACCCATCGTAAAGGGGTTCTCTACAACGAATTGGTCCCCTGAATTTCGTTGAAGAGAGAAGTCCACGAGTAATGTTTTGTTTTAGAAGGGATAACGGTCTTCCCCCACTGTAACAGTGAGAAAGTAAAGACCACGGAACTTACTTCCACACACTTGGTGGACAGCGTCCGTAGCTGCGACGACTTGCTCGACAAGCAACTATCGGCTGCAGACAAAGCGGCCGCCGACAGAGCGGCCCGTGGGCGGCGGGCTCGCGGCCGCCCAATGACGTAACGTGACTCGCACCCGACGCAAGTCGACTTCTGCTTCTGCGGGTTGCTGGAGCTGATCCGACCGCTGAACACTGCGCAGGCTTTTGCGGGCGTCTCGTAACCAGCAATCGTCGGGTTTGATGGTTTGACCTCTCAGCAGGTCGGGCGTGGATTTGGCACGCGCCATGAGCACTTGGGCCGGCGCCTGCTTGACTATGGGTTCGGCTCGGGCGCCGAATTTGCACACGAGATCCGGGAACACGGGTTGCCTTTCCGCACGGCCCACGAAGAAACGGTCGCGGGTCTTCTTTGCCGGCGCGAACATCATCGCCGACATACCTCTCACTTCCGAACACTCGCGATTGATTTCTTCTTCTTTGCAATGCCAAAATGAGCTCAAGCTAAAATATAGTATGCATCTACTGCATTTTAACAAAAATGGTTGCCAAAAATTATTCCAATCATGGCATCTCCGTCAACATGAAACGATCACCAAGATCAGACTTCAACTTTCGAGGTCGACTTCCGGTACTGTAAATCGAACGACGCATTTTTACGCAGCATGCATCAGCAATTGGTCAAATTGAATCGTCTTCCTTCTTTCAAAAATGACCTCGACTTCGCCGATGTTCCGAGAAAAATACGAATAAAAGCTCGCATCATTTTATCCATTCTGTTGAATTTACCATTTAACAGAATTGAATTTACTATTCAACAGAGAGTTGGTTCTTGTAGTACGATAAACGTTATTCTTGCAGAGTAATATTTGATCGTTCCGTGACCACTGATATAAATACTCAATCACTGCCTAGAAACTTGGTTTACATTCCACGGTTTATGAACTCAAAGGCTGCATAAAACCTTCCAACTGGGTAAAATTTTATAATTTTTTTCCAGAGAATATGTCACAGATCTTACAATCATTTCCTACCTTTTTCAAAAAAAATTAGCGTTTAGAACTAATCCTTAAGGGGCCCAAAATGTGAAGGTTACCCTAAAAAGTCGATTCGTGAGAAGCTTTACCGATGGTCAGCGCTGTGATTGAACAAAATCGTTTGAAAATAATCCGAGTCATGTTTCGAGTCTTTTTTAACTTTAGGGGCCCGACAACTTTTGAACCATATGCAGTATTAAATTCCGGCGTATTGCCTTCCGCATTTCACCTCTTACTGCTCTTCAGGATGCACGAGAAATCAAGTCTTGGTTCTCGTTATTTTATTTATTTTTGGTAAAAAAATAAACAGGCTCTTGATACCCCAAAAACGTTGACCTAATAAGTAGAATATGAGAATTGTATCCAGGCAAATATTTTTGAATTTACGTAAATCGTGTCTTTATCGAGCACGTTTGTCTTTCGTGGCACTATCATCTTCCTTTTTATCTTCGCAAAATAATGACAGCTAAGCGAACTAGAATTCTATGGGCAATGTAAGGGGGAATTCAAGACTTTCCCATGCCTTTCCATCAGCCTTCCTCGTGAAAAATGTGGAACCGAAATAAAATTTGAACAAGCCTGATTGAATTACGAACAAGGAGGGAATCATTGCGGAAACAAATGGTACAAGGGGTCGGAATCGAGATTTTTTTTCGCTTCACTTTTTCGAGCGCGCGTAGAAAAAAAATATCGATGTGTTTCCAGACCAATTAAAACTAGTTTGTTGACAGCGAATCAAATCACGTCAGCGGCCGAGCCCGGCGTGACGATCGCGGCTCATCGTCAAGCAGGCATCTCGAATTCCGCGTCACCCTTCGACAGTCGACAGGGAAATCGGCCGTGATTTCATCGCGCCACTAATTACGTCCACGAGCGACCACCCGTCCGAAACAATCTTTTACGGAGGCTTCCGCGCCAGGCCCCGTATACAGCCCATCCCAGTCTCCACATTGGCGTGAAAAGGCAATTTTTTGCGAGCGCGATCGATAATCACGAAAGTCGAAACGCCGAGCTCGTCGAACCCAGGCTGAAAGGAATTCCGATGCGCGAACGCCACTTTCTTCCAAGCCAAGCAATCGCACTCTCGTTGGATTTTTTAATTAATGCCGCGAAGACGAACGAGTCCGTTCTAATGGGCGACAAATTTCACGAGCCGACTTTTCGCGCCATCAAATGCAACCGAAGATTATTTCACACAAACGGACGATAAAAACAATAGTAATAACGATCACGCGTAACTCTGGAAGGCAAGATCTTAAGGAGTCACTCGTTTAACAGACATTCATGAATTCACACAAGCATTTCAAGCAAATCGGGTCATCGGCCGCACTTCGATTAAAAAAAAAAAAACGCGATAACTTTCAGGTGGGATCCAGTCTTCAATTATTCGAATCCAGGACCACACCCCGTATTTCTAAAAAAAAATTAAATTGTTTCCAGAAAATTGGCAGACTTCGCCAATTGAATATGCTGCATTTTTTTAAATTTTCACAGAAATATTGTATACATCCCGCTCTATGAATACGTATTTCAGAACTGCAGAATTACGTCGTGGCCTGAAATCGCATAAAAACTGGAGATGGACATCAAGGCCTCCACCAACGAGAAAAATAATTCACGCACAAATTATAAAATAAAGCATTCTCAAAAAACTAATTAAATTATTTTAGTTTTTGCAATATCAGCATCGACTTACATAAATTTCCGTCCGTAAATTTATATTTGAATGGGGAATATGAGCTAAAATCGCGGGTAAAACCTTCAAAAATGCAGTTAAAATATATAAAGTATTTTTATTGATTAGCGCAACACTTCATAAAATCACCGTTAGGCAAATGTGCGGTCTGGAAACGCGAGATTTGACCATTTGAAAATACAGTATACAATTGTTTTTTTATATCAACGATAATGGAAATTATAGCTTGATCAAAGAAACTTCTAAAAACTGAAAAAAATGCACGGGATTTTCTGATATTCTACCAACACATCATTCGGAGTATTCGTGACGTTCATCACTTTGAGCAACGACGCTCCGAAACAATCCTGACTTTCCGAATGCGAAGTTCCACAATATTTCATACGCGAATCTGTCCGAGAACTCACTCCACACATCAAAGCGATGGAAGACAGAGGAAATATCAGCACTGCTGAAAAATTCTGCACCAGAAAGCGTCCGTTCCGACAGTCCGAGTGGGCGTCGACGATGCGCGGCCGCACTCGACAGGTAACCCAAGGCAACTACGGAGCCGGGGCCGGGTGCTTGAAATCGCAGGCTTCTTGCGCGCGAAGAGCAACAAGCCCTTTCGGCGGCGCGCAGTTCTTTCTCTCGACATTCAATTCAAATACTGCACCGAAAAGCGGATTATGCTGTATTCAAATATTGCAACTCGATATCCGTTTACAGAGGTAACTTTTCATGAAGAAAGTGAGGCCTATACAACGGAGTAAGAACGGATTTAGCGTCGAAACACAAACGCTTGAGTGCAGCCGTATTTTCCGGTCGCTCGTGAAATTTAGCGCAACGAAAGTTGGGGGATGCTCGAAAACATTCCCTCGCGGTGTTTCTGGGAAGCCGTCATTGAGAACTTCAAGCCTTGAATCCCTCCGTAAGATACTCAAGAGGGGCTCTCGGACTGGAGAGCGGAAGAACTGGGTATGGAAAGAAAGGGAACGGGATGAGAAATGCGGACGAAGTCACGTTCAAGCCAAGGGAACAAGAAGGGTTCTACTCAGGGGAAACAATAAGGCGCCAGAATGCAAATGAAGCCTCAAGATTTCCTTTCCTCCTTTTCTTTTTCTTCATCTGAGTCTTGAGTTCCCACCCGTAAGACGGGTCGATCACCGATCAAATTCATCCGTCTCTCTCAAATCTCTTCCTTTCATGTTCCCAGTAGAAGTCTTGCTCGAATACAGTAAAAATCGCAATTAGTAGAGAACATTTTCGTCAGCAAGCAGCGATATAAAATACGCGTCTCCGTCTGATGGACGATACAATGGACTCTCAGTACAGTAAAATTACAAGGCATCTCGTTACCAGGAATTCTTCTTCATAATGCATTTTTTCTTGGTCTCAGCAGTTTTTCCATATGCACCATGTCATAAAAGATATATTTTAACAACCTATGTTAGAATGTAATCTCAGTAAAACGAATTATTTGTTCTGACTCTGTGCATAAGCCATCATATGGATTGTTTGATAATCTGCAGAAAAATGAAAAAAAAATCTAACTGGTGCAGCACTCCAATTTCATCAAAGGAAGAACACTTTCTGTGGGGAGAATTAATGCTCAAGAAAACGCACAGTATGACATATTTCTTGGAACTTTTCAACTCCATTTGAGAATGTGTCTATCTTTCGAGCTAAAATTATGTTAAAAAGAATTTCTCTTCATTTAAAGGAACGAACTGCTATGAATGAATTAGTTGATTTGGAGAGAAGCATAAATTTATCACTCAAATGGCAGATTAGAAGAAACGCAGGCCCAGTATACAAAAGATGTGCGGTTATATTCAACATTGTTCCGCTTCATTTCATCATAGAGACCTAGAAATTATGACAGGTCTTAAATTATATATTACAAAAACAATTTACACTATTATATCTTTATAAGGAATTAATCAGGACCGTGGGGGTTTGTTATACAGTCGCGAGAGTTTACTGTATACTTCATTCATTTCGTCAATTTCAAAATTGATTGACGCCCTACGTTTTTATCGTCAACTTCCCTCATTGCACTAAACACATGATATATTGTTGGCATTTCAATTAAACGATGAACTGTCTGATGAAATGAATTCAAGTAGGCGATCGAAAGCAACCAGGAGTAAGATGTGATAGCAAAAATCCCCGGTCGATTTCACCAGCCCAGCACGATGAAACGGGCTAAAAAAAAAAAGAAAAGAAAGAAAGAGAGATATCTGGAGCCAGAAAGACTTCATCAGAAAATATACTCAGTGGCCAGCACCTATTTCCATTTTCAGAGAGATCAAGTCGGAGCAGCCAGACTAGCTGAGAGCACCCGGCGAAATTTCTGAGCTGAAAAAATTTCCGGCAGCGTTTCTCAGAACAAAGAGCACTTTCACCCGTGAAGTTCGGAGGGAAAAGCGAGCAGGAAAACCACCGGCACGAATTTCCATCTCAACTCCGGGCCCCGAATCCCTTCTTCACCCAAATGAAGACCCGCTAAACCCCCCCCACCCTTCTAGTGCAACCCTACTCACCTGGTCTATATTCCGCCTTCATGAAAAGGGGCCCACCAGCGGATGGTGGTAATGAACCTCGAGGGGAAATCAGAAAAATCCCAATCGCACCATGAACGTGAGCGGGGTTTTCTTTCAAACGTCCAGTCGGGTTGGCATGGCAAAAAAAAAGGGAATACTACGTAAGACCAAAATGGATGGCT